TCAAAAATGGGAAAACTATGCATCAACTAGCTGAAAGGGAGTATTCGCCGAGTGTGCACTTAGGTAACCTAATTTTTTTTACACAGCGGTATTAGAAAGAATGAAGAATGATCCCATATCATAAACTCGTTCAGCTTTTGCACAAGTTCAACACAAGCTTCTGGTCACAAAAACTGTATCACATAGCACTTCCTCTATTGTAATTTTATATGATAACATTTGACTAGATAGTATAAGATATTAATTTGAGTCGTGCGTATTACACTAGAGGTAGCGTAAGAACATAAAAATGACGATCAAAAGTCTGTTTGGTATTGCAAACATCACATCGTTTAAAATTCAAATAGTAAAAAAAAAATGAACTCTCTAGAATGCCAATGCCAAAGTCAAACATTTTCCAACATCCCAAAATGAAAAGAGCGTCCTGTAAATAGTTCAGCAAGAATAGTTTCTTTAAAAACTAAAAATTTTCAGGAACAGCTAATATATTGTTTCTTAGAGTATGTAAAAAAACAAGAAACAACACGCACAGAATTCTGCTTTACAATATTCCAACACATAAAAAAGAATTTTCCTAGGAGAATATGATATCACTCATCGAAAACAACATAAACCAGATGAATAAAATAAGTCAAAGCACAACGTCCTAGCCTTTTTTTTGATAAGGTAAATTGTATTAATCAAAAGGGAGAGAAACTCCCGTATACAAGAAGTATACCAAAAAGTAGAGAATTTACATCAAAACATGATTCTCTACAAAAAGACGCCCAATCTTCTATACAAATAGGGACTATATGAGTGCACCAAAAAGCGATCAAAGATAAAAGACTATTCTTAAGATGTGAAAAAGGAGACTCAATCCCCTCAAAAGCTCTCCTATTTCTCCCCCAAACTATCCACATGAGAGCTAACGGGGCGAAATTCCACGCCTTTTGCTTTCTTCTTTTACATAAACCGGCTCAGCTATATAGCATTTCCTTTACAGTGCTTGGCATCACCTATTGAACACCAAAAATGTTCCGGATTGCCCTCCACAAAGCCGAGGACACGGGGCAATGCAACAAAAGATAATCAACTTCTTCCCCTGAGCTTTTACACATATAGCACCAACTAACAAGTGTAATTCCCTTCTTTCGCAGATTCTCAGCAGTCAAAATCACTCCCCTCGCCGCTAGCCATGCAAAAAAGCACTGAATTCTAAACCGTAGTATCCTTATGCGAAGCGCCCAATGGGAGACCCGTGGGAAGGGAGCCCACCTTACATCTGAGAACATAAGACAAAGCATCAATGTTAGCAACCTCACCCACAGGGAAAATCTCACACTTGTCAAGGTTGATTTTGAGACCTGATACTATCTGAAACCACTGCAGGACCTGCTTCAGGTAGATCAACTAATCCATATCGGCATCACAGAAAACCTGGGTGTCATCCGAAAAAAGCAAATGAGAGACTCTTCGGGCAATGGGCATCTCGATCGGAGTTGAGAATCCTCTCAAGAAGCTTCCGCCCGCCGCACGATCCATCATTTTACTCAAAGCATCCATCACTAGAATGAATAGCATGGGGGATAGGGAGGGGGTCTCCTTGCCAGAGACCCCTGGAGCTGCCAAAGAAACCACACGGGCTACCATTAACCAGGACAGAGAATCTGACTGAGGAAATGCAGAACTTGATCCATCCCCTCCATCTTGCCCCAAACCCCATCCGCATCATAATGAAATCCAGGAACTCCCAATTGACATGGTCGAAAGCCTTCTTAAGGTCCAACTTGCATAGTAAGCCAAGATCTCTATTTTTCGTTCTGGAGTCTACGAGATCATTTGCCACCAAAGCGGCATCTAGGATCTGCCTACCTTCCACAAACGCATTCTTAGAGGACGAAACAGACACGTCAAGAACCTTTTTGAGTCTATTGGAAAGCACTTTAGAAATAATCTAGTAAATGCTCCCCACGAGACTAATAGGCATGTAGTCACTGATACAAGATGCACCTTCTTTCTTAGGCGCAATAGTAATAAAAGAAGCATTGATACTTCTCTCGAAAACACCATTCACATGGAAGTATTCAATGGCTTCCATCAACTCCCCTTGATGGTATCCCAACAGAGCTGGAAGAAGGCCAAGGAGAAACCATCAGGGTCGGGGGCCTTATCACCAGCACAACTCGACACAGCCTCGTGCACCTCCTCCTCCTCGAAAGCCCTTTCTAGCCACTCACTGTCTCCCTCCCCTATGTGGTTGAACTCTATTCCCCCCAAAGTCGGCCTCCAACTAACTTCCTCTTTGTATAAGTTCTCATAAAACCCCACTATCGCCCATTTTACCTCCTCTCCCTCAATCCTCACCTCATCCACAACTAAGGACTCTATGAAGTTTCTCCTTTGATTTGCAACCGCCACCCTTTGGAAAAATTTGGTATTCGAATCCCCTTCCTTTAACCATAGCGCCCTCGATTTTTGCGCCAACTAGTCTCCTGAGCTATTGCCAACTCGACTATTTCCCTCTTAACCTCCCCCAATCTCTCTTTCTCAGATTCATCTAACTCCCCCACCCCTTCCCCTCTCTCTAGATCCCCCAATTCATGCATAAGCTCCCTCATTTTAATCTCTACCCTCCCAAAAAAACTCTTTATTCCACCTAATAATATCTCCCTTGAGCAATTTGAGTTTCTTCGAAAGACGGAATGAAGGTGTCCCTGATACCCCGTAGCTTGTCCACCATTCTTTCACCTTGTCACCAAATCCTAGCACCTTCAACCACATGTTCTCGAATCGGAAGGGAGCACGCACCCCCTCCCTTTGCATCCATCTAGCAAGATAGGCAAATGATCCAAAGTCAGCCTAGGTAAAGGAATCTGCAACACATTCGGCTGGCATCAGCTCATCCCAGGAGGGCGATATCAGAAATCTAACAAGTCTGACCTTGAGTTGGAATCCTCCGCCCCCTGACAGAGGAAGATCAATGAGAAAGTGATCATTGATGATGTCAGAAAACTCCTCCATGGCCCTCGAAATCATACTACACCCTAATCTCTCCTCCGGGAATCTANGCTGCTGGAACCCAGTCATATTTTACCCTACCTCCTCCCCAGACATTCCTCACAATCACATCCGACAAAACTTCCATTTTTGTCTCCTGAAAGCAAACTAGGTTAGCACTCCACTCTCTAACTCCCACTTTGATGATGGCCCTTTTGTTTGGGTCATTCATCTCTCTCCCATTCCATGAAAGAATCTTAACTTCCATAAGAAACAATATCCCCCTTCTCCCCACCCCGTCTAACCGAGCTCCCTTCCTCCCTGTCACACACCCGGCCCCTTCTATGGTACACCACATCCCCTAAATTATTTTGGCCAACACACTGACCCAACTCCCTCCTTGCACCATCATAACAAGATTGTTGCCCAATCTCCCTCAACAGTTATGACACCCTATCTTCCTTCCCTTCAAAAGAAACACCTAGAAACTTCCCAAAGTTTAATAGTTTATCCTCCATCCAGAAAGACATATCCCCTCCTCCAATCCATGACGAGATTGGACAGGCATCTTCTATATGTACCCTTTCGTTGCCCCTACAAGAGGAATACAAGACCATAGCATTGCTAGCAATAGGAACTTTAGGTGCCGAAAGGATCTCGTCATTTCCTTGAGGGGTATCAATCTCTGAAATAGCACCCCGCTGCTACAGGAATGACCAGAAACACCAGTAGGGTAGCAGGTAGGGGTGTGCATTCGAATCGATTTATCGACAAATCAAATCAATTATTTGTTATCGGTTTATCGATATCGATTTATCGATTTATCGATTTCGATTTCGAAATTTTTCTTATCGAGTTATCGATTTCGATTTCGATTTTGTGCTCTTCGGTTTATCGATAACCGATAGATATACTAAAAAAAATTACCCTTATTCTATAATACCCTTTCCTTTACCCTAAGTCCCTAACCCTATTATTTCATCTACCACATTTAAGGAATGATCATATTTAAAGCTTGAAAATAGAATTAGCCGTGATGATGTATTTTTATTTTTTATACCGTTGGAGTGTCGGTGGCATACATTTGATCCCTTACTTTAGTTTCGTTGCATGTGCTTGTTGACACAATTTTTATGTTATAAATGGTGTTCATCTTATTTTAGCTTCTTTTTGTCCATATTAGTTAGGCGTGTTTATAGCGATATACTTTCCATGGAATCCCGCAAATTTTCTTATTGGTGTAATCGATAACCGAATCGATAAGTCCCAAAAATCGATAAATCGAAATCGAAAAAATCGAAACCTTATTGAAACGATAACGATAAGCATATGTACAAATCGATAATCGATAAGTAATTATCGATAAGGGTCAAAATCGAATCGATAAATCGAATGCACACACCTATAGCAGGAAGGAGGAGAGCATGGAGCCCTTGGCGGCATCTTAACTGGAAATACTGGTCCGGCACTAACATCAGATGGGGCATGCTCAACAATCTTCCCAGAAAAAGAAGAAGCTTGAAGTGTAGCCTCAACACAACTAAGCCCAGGAGCAGATGAGGGGGCGATGGAGCTGGGTCCATCAGAGGCGGGAGGCCGTGGAATAACAACACCATCTATAGCCGGTGCCGCCCCTGAAGCGGCATCCATCGAAGAGCGAAAGTCACTAGAGCTCGATGCAGAAATGCCACTGTGTGTAGCACCATTGGCAGAAGAAGGAAGAACGACTGTTCCCATATGCTTAGGAGCCTTAACAGACGCAGCTTGAAATAATCTGGGCCCTTAGGAGCAATTCTAATAGAATTGGGAAAAGCTGTTGGGCCCATGTGAGGAGGCTCAGGCCTATACTTGCTGAAAACTTGCCTAGCCCTAGGATAACTGGAAGATGACCGGCCCATTCTACCTTTCCAGCCCGCATCACTTACCCATTAACGTCTTTCCCTCCTGTTGAAATTTTGTCTTCTCCTAAAATCATACCACCCGTCTTTTCTCAATCTAACGTCTGATTCCGGCTTAGTTCACTAATCGGGTGAGCACTCCCCTCTCCTCAGAGACTGATTTCCTTTCCCCTCCCTTCTATTTGACCTTCCCTTTTCTTCCGCCACTATCTCAGGCATAAAGATAGGGCAAAATTCAGGGCTCAACCAAACCCTATAACTCAAGTAGCCATCTTCCACCACAGTGGAGACAGGGATTTTGCCCCCTTTCCTCACCACAATCCTCACTCGCGAGAGATCGTGTAAGCTGCAAGCGACATCAATAAAACCCCACAGATTTTCCCAATCTTCTTGAATAAGTCAAGACACCAAAGATGCACCGGGAGACCCACCATGTTGACCACCAATGATTCGCCGGTGAAACAAGGGTCTAGACACCCATCGTGCTCCACCCATCTGTCTAGCTTTAAGAAGTTCCCACTGAACCACCTATTTCCTCTTACAAGAATTTCTGAGGCTTGAGACTCGCCGACAAAACGAAAGAGATATTGTGTCCCCCAGTTGCGATATTTTCAGCCCGTCCTTGACACTCCATGCCCCTGCTGCTCAGTTCCTAACAGCCTCTGGAGAACCAACCTATTTGGAGAAAGACCCAATCAGACAAGATTTCAAGAAGCCCATGCGCCTGAGAGTGCTCCTCAAATAGCGAGAAGTGCAGCTCCTGCCCTACGTCAAGCTTTCGATGGCATCTTCCCCCAAGCTTTAGGGCTGGCCAAGAGGCAGCTTTGATGAAACTCATGTTTTCTAGTTTTCTAGAGAGAAGTAGGAGTTTCTCTCTGTAGAATCCATCATATTCTAGATGTTGCTGTCCCAAAAAAAGAAGTGGTGAGATCTGTCCGGAAAAACCTCAAAGGTTAGAAAAATCAGCAGTTAGAGCGGGTGAAAAACAGAACGAAGGGGAGGAATTTTCTGATATTGAACGGAAAGATATTCTGCAATCTTAAGGAGAAAGAAGTTTTTTTGGCAACTGACTGAAAAGTGATTGAAAACTGGCCGGAAAAATGCTTCCCGTACGCCGGAAAAAAGTAAAAGTGGTCGGAATCTAAAACTTCATGGATGGGTGGGGTCGGAACAAGGGGACGAAGAGGTTGTCCAAAAGAAAAAAGTTGATATCTGGCCTGAAATTGGCTCACGCGCCGGCGCATGGTGGAGGGCTCGCCAGAGCTTGGCCGCGCGTGTAAGGGTCTTGATAATGGCTCCATGTTATAATCTTTTCTTTTAACATTGACCTTCAGTGTTATGCACAGTAGGGTATGTTCATGGTTCAGTTCCAGTTTGGTTTTCATCTAAACGGAAACCAAACCAACTACGTCAGTTTGTTAACTATAGAACTAAACCAAAACAAATAGTCGCTTTTTCGATTTTGTTAGGCTTTTCTGTTTATTTTCACATGAATTACGAATTCATTTCATTGCTACTAGAGCTAAAGACATAATTTCTAATACGTCGGTATATGCTTAGCAAGAATCGAACAAATGGATTAACCTATTATGTATTAAAGCATCTAGATGTGAGAAACTACACCATGAGATATGACAATTATTCACTTTCGTAGATCAAACAACAACCTTGCATCCATAAATGTTTCCAAATTTATCTAATCTTAATGATTAGAAGTTAAAATAGTAAATAAATCATTCTTAAATAACTATAATATATAGAAGCATATGAGAACTCTAAAAAACACCATGAGTATGTCTATATAACTTTTTTAGTTAAATATAAGTAGATTTATAAAACAAATATTTATCACCATAAAAATTTAATAAATAATATATTTATAATACTCGGTTTGGTTATGCTCTTTCCTTGAATACTTAACCAAACCAAATGTTGTCTGTTTTTTAATTGAAAACCAAACCGAGTCAAAAGAGTGTCGGATACTATGTCAGTTTACTTTGGTTTGATTTTAAATTTCCACTGAAAACAATCCAAGAAATAAAAAAAATTCAACAACATAGGAGTGGCTAGTCCTTTTAAAACCTGCCAGGGCTATGATTTGTACAACTGCCAGGCGCCAGCTCCCCCC